CGCATACGCGCTCAAGAAACGCCTCTCCTGGTCACCCCACAGACCCACTATCACCTGCAGCACCTTCTCGCTTCACTCTCCCAGCCTGGGCCCACCACTCCTCTCGCTCGGCCGCTGCAGAATGAGTCAGCGCCGCCCCAGCCGTTGCCAATTCCGCCTTGCCGCGTTCCCCCCTCGTCTTTGGCAATCTCCCAAAGCCGCACGGTGTCTCAGGCATCTCCCCCTGCTCATCCACATCCCCCCCTCCAAACACCATTGCAAGTCCCGGCCCAGCAGCGGCGATTTTCCCGTTGGCGCGCTCCAACGTCGTCTTTGCAACCGCGCGGCAGCCGCACCTTGGAGTACGATGTGCACATCGCGGAGAAGAGTCGATTGGCAGCCCTTTATCGCTACCCACCCGGGGCCACCGTCGAGTACCCAGAAAGCGGAGAGGAGCTGGCCGTCGGCCATCTCATTCCAATCGATCCCGCCGCGGACCTCCTGCCTTGGGCAGACTTTGCGTACTCGTGCGGTAGTCCCGACGGCGGCTCGGCGAAACGCGACGTGTTCTTCACCGAGCTCCTAGTGGATTCGGATGGTAATCGCGTGCCGTGCAAGAAAAGGCACACGACGTGTGAGTCCCCTTTGCTCTCTTTGCGCGTTCCTTTGACTTACCATGCTGATCGCAGGTCAAGGGGTTAAAGCCTGCCCGCTCAACGACTTGAGTGTGCTTACAGGGTCCGATCACCGCCATACCTCGGCCACGCGCCAGGACATCGAACGTCGCTTGGCAGCAGACCGTGAGGCTCGTCAACGCCTCTCCTCCCCCCAGCGCGACGTCTTCGTGAAAACCTCGGCGTATATCACAGCGATACGCAAGGTCGGCTGCCGCCGTCCCTGCCGGGAGGAGACCCATCGCGACGCAGAAGAGCTCCGTCAGTACAACGAGGAGCAGTCGCAGTACGAGACCTTCCGCCGCGGCCAGCCATCGATCCCGACGTGCCAGGGGCGCATTCGATATTACGAGTATCCAGACCCTGATCACCCTGACGCTCCTCCTCGCTCGTATTTGAGGTTAGCATCCCATCCCGCGTATGTCTTATCAGCGTCGTCTGATCCCCTTGTACTCCAGCTGCGAGCACTACTCGCGCCGCACCCCCGACCACTGGGCGGAATTCGGACTTCAAGACGCCGGCTTGGATCTCGACTACATAGCCGCGCACTTCCAGGACAACAGCGACGAGCTCGCACGCATCGAAGAAGCCGCCGCATTGACCGACGTTGGCCCTTTGGGAACCTGCGTCACCCTGCGGAACTTTGCGGCTCAGACGCAGCATTGTCGTGCGTTGTCTCGTCCCTCATCCTTTTCTTCGGATTTTCATCCCTGTGCGCAGCCCTCGACCACCGCGTTGACGGACGCTTGACTCAGCTCGAGCTGACGCACATCGAATGCCAAGTCAAATTCCGGATGTGGTTCCCTGTCGACCTCCAGCGATGTCCGTTCGTGCTCGTCACCTCGAAGGGCGTGCATCGGCATCCCATCCCCCTTCCCGAGAAGACGCCGCGAAACGTGCGGGCCCAAGTTTTCGCCCTCCTCCACACTCTCCGTCAAGATTTGGCCGACATGACGGCGCGTCGGTTTCTGCGGCATCCCGCGGTCAAAAGCTTCCTCATCAGCCGCTTCCCCGACCTCCCGACGCCCACACTAAGCGCGTTGCACCCGTCCCTCGCCAACCGCGCCCACCTTGGCTCCTACATCGCCCGCGCGCGGCGCGAAAGCTTTCCACATGGGACCGATTGGCAAGGAATTCGCTACCTCAAGCAGCAGCAAGATGCGATGCTCCCATCGCACCAGCACTACATCCGGGTCCAACTGGAGCTCGACGATGACACCCTTTCGCACCACGACGAGGACGACGATGCGCCTTCAGCCGACAAGAAGACGCGTATCATTATATGCATGTCCCCCGACTCCAGCAAGCGCCTGTCGCTGGCGCAATACCTCCAGAGCGACATCGGATTCAAGCGGATTGTGGGCTTCGACGAATTTGAGATCGCCTCGATGGACCGCGACGCCAACACGAGTGAGTCCGTCTTCTTCTTCTTGGCTCACGGACTCAGCGTTGCAAAAGGCGTCGTGTTCTGCAGGGTGTACCTGAATCGCCAGACAGCCGCCGCCCACCAGCGGGTCTTTCACGAGATCAACGAGATCGTGCGCCGCGACACCGGGCGCCCTCTGCAGTGGCGCCACCTCCATGGCCAAAATCCCGAAGATACGAGCGCGGGGCTGATCCTCCATTGGGGAGCCGATCAGCACAGAGGACAAGCTAAAGGTGCGTCGTTTCTCGTCCATTCCTGCCGTTTCCGCCGCTGATAGATACTTTGCAGGCCTTGGACTCCATCTTGTCGACCGGGCGGCCGAGCTCCCGCGCCACCGAATGGACCTGCACGAACCTCACCGGCCACTGTACCTGCTCACGCCTTACGAGCATCTACGACGCGTTTACCGCCTCTGCCGCGTCCACAACTACCGAAATATCCAGCAGTTGGGCGTCTCCGAGCATGTACGGCAGCTGATGCGCTCGCTGGTCTGCGTCCGGCATCCGGACTGGGATGGGACCATCGACGCCATCCTCCGCGACAGTGGCAAGCCTGCTGCAGGTACGTTGCTGCAATCCCACAAAAGCCTCCCCACGCTCACGCTTCCTTTCACGTAGACTGGGTGCGCGACAAGCAAAGCTGCCAGTTCGCGTTCGCCGCCATTTGCTGGGAGCGGAGCTTCATACCCTTCAACGTCTGGCAGGCGGGCGAACCCCACACCAACCTCATCGAAACGGTCCATCGGGACGTTAACAGGGAAGGGGTCCATTGCACCCTCGTCGGCGGCCTCATGCGCGGACAAGATTACGACGAGATGCAGCGAGCGACTCTTCTCGTGAGCGTCCAGCCCTCGTCCACCCTGTCTTCGCCTGACTCTTTTCACGCAGGCGCACGAGCTTCACGGCATCCGCCCCTCGTATCTCCCCGCCCATCCCGTGGCCAACGCCGTCAAGAATGTGATCAGACGAGGTGCGCAAAACGTCTTTATTAAATTTCCTTTCGATGTATCTGACCTAGGCGCCCCACAGGCAATAACCGCGCCAAACGGCTCGAGAGTATGGCGCTTGCCGTGTCGACGCATAACGCCAGCATGCAGACCTGCCATGCGAAGTACGGCGAAGCCCTTGCACGCCTCGAGCGACTGCAGGCCGTCCTTGACGCCCCGCACCTCCAGCAAGCTGGCGCTCAGAATCAGCTCCAGCTCCAAATCACCTCCGCCAAACGCGATGTCCACGCTGCTGAGGTGAAATACCACAAGCAGGTGCGGGTGGGCGAGGAGCTTCGGAGCGCGGGGAGCGCAGGGATATGCCTGCCGTCGAAGAACTAATCTGGGGAAATGACAATTTTGTTGCAATAGCACTACGGCGATGGTACTACGGCGATGGCGCACGCTCGATGGCGCGCATGGTCCCGCACGCCGTTACACGTGTTCGGTATGTGCCGGACAGGTGATCCCCGTCTTGGCATGTGGCGGACAGGTGATCCCCGTCCTCCGCTTCTCTCCACGTCCTCCGCTTCTCTCCACGTGTCCGTTCTCTCCACCTTTCTCCCCTTGCCGTTCTCCTCCATCTCGTCGACTCTCTCCTGTTTTCCATCTCCGTCTGCAATTCCCCTCGTCCCTCTCCCTTGGATCCGTTTTCTGGGCTCATTCCGCCCCTCGTTGTCTTCGCCGCTCCTCTTCGCCGTCGCTCCACCTGCGTCGCGCACGTCCAGTGGCGCACACATGTCGCCAACTTCGATTCCCGCCCACTTCCGCCCAGCAACCAAGGTCGCCGCGCCGTTCTGATTCAGGTCCCGGACCTCGTGCATGCAGCTTCTCGTTTTCTTGCGCTTGGGCCAGGCCATCCGACCTCCGCCGTGGCTCGACCTGAATCGAATAAATATCGTGCGTCTATCACTTCCCCCCCATTCGTCCCTCGCTCACCATGTCGCAGTATCAGTATTACTCTGCCCCTCCTGCTACCCAGACAGCCGCCGCCCCGCCCGCTCAGACAGCCGCCGCCCCGCCCGCCCAGACACCCGCCGCCGCGCCGACCACCAACCCCGTTCTCTCGTGGGCGCCCGCCAACGTCGTTCCTGCGACCCCCGCGCAACGCTGCGCTCCCAACCGCTGCGCTATCTGCGACGCGCAGCATCTGTGCGTCTTGCACCAGGCCAACGGCTTGAACGGCCCACAGACCGGGCCTCTCCCTCACCGTCGCACCTGTGAACCAATCTTCCTCCCCGCCGACCCCAGCATCGACGTTATCACGCACTCCCTCGCAGCGGGCGAGTCGTTCTACCTCGCCATGCCCGCCCATCAGGAGGCCATCTACACCAACTCGTGCGTCTCTCCCCTCCATTTTTTTTACCTGCAGCGCTGACCCGCCTTTGTAGCATCACCGCGCGCGCCGTTTCGGAGGGCGTGCAGCACGGCAAGCACCAGGCCTGCAAGACTTGGGAGGAGGCAAAGGCCCTTTGGGCTCTGGGCTGCCTCCGCTGGCACGGGAACGAATGCCGCCGCGAGCGTCTTCAGCGCGCCGACGGCCGTGGGATCAACTGGGCGGTCGCCGGGACCTCCATCATCTGTGGCTCCAGGTCAGTATTCTGTTCACCTCTACTCTGTCCCTGTCTCAATCCTCTCCAGGGCCGCCGCCTTCCGCCTCGCTCAAGACAGCGGCTCCCTCGACATCCGCATCCGCGGCCACCGTGACGCCGCCGTCCTGCGCGACTGGCTCGACAACGGCAGCTCCGAGGAGGACTAGACGGCGTGCGCGTTGGGGAGGGTGGGCGGCACAATCTCTTGTTTAATATACGTTGTACCTATGATGTGGGCCCTTACGTATCTGTATTTTCGCGTTGTCTTTTTTTTTTTTTTTTTTTTATGCCAGTTGATCCAAGTTGAGACGAACAGGAGTGGCTACTATCTACCGCCCAAATAAGACCCCCTAGCGGAGCGGTAGCGCATCACCTAGGAATTCATTTCTTCCTGGTCCAGGTTTAAGGTGAAGGCGCCGGTTCGACTCCGGCGGGGGTCATTTGCGACATCGTTTGAAATTTTTGGACTTGTACATTTTTGGATTTTGGGGCTAGGTCTCAGTTTTTTTGAAGTTGAGACGAAGAGAACCGGCTACATCCACTGTCCTAATAAGACCTTCTGGCGCAACGGTAGCGCGCCCCTAGAAATTGTGTCCTCCTGACCCTTTTCAGGGGAGGGCGCCGGTTCGAGTCCGGCAAGGGTCATCTGCCTCATCGTTGGATTTTTGGACTTCTAAATTTTTGCTTCCTGTTTTTGTCGAATTTTCGCTCAGTCCTCAATTGAGTCCACTTATTTGACGGCAAGGAGAAAACGGGTTGGCAAGGTAGCTACATACAGAGGTAGTATGTACCCACCCCCGCGCGCGCGACTTCCGCATCGGTGGTCGCGTTGCCTCAGTTTGAATACATCTGTAGAATTTCAAAGAGATGAGTGAGTGAGAGGGAATAGGATAGGACGGAAAGAGACTTACGAAGGTGGCGAAGACGCTTGGACATCGTCCAGACATACCGCTCGACGTCTTGGACGGCGATCGATATATTCCTCATAATTCCCAGCGCTCGGGAACGATTCCGACCACCGTGCGCTCGACCTCGTCCACGGTCCTCGTCCCTTGAATACCTCTTCGCGTTGTCTCGACCGCTCGCTGTCTTCCCGCTTGCTGTTGTCCCGCTTGCCGTCGTCCCGCTCGGCGTCGTGCACACCCCGCCCATTCGACCTTCAGTACCTCTTCGTCCCAACCGGTGGGCGTTGTCTAGACCGCTCGCCGTCATCCCGCTCGTGCACACCCCGCCCATTCGACCTTCAGTACCTCTTCGTCCCAACCGCTCGGCGACATCTCGACCGCTGGGCGTCGTCCCGCTTGCCGTCGTCCCGCTCGGCGTCGTGCACACTCAGCGTTGACCTGCGGGTCGCTCGATCTGGCCAGCCCAGCATGGGAGTCAGCCGGCGACAACGCCTCGCGCCCTTCTTCGCCGCCCGCAGCGGCCTTGGTCATCATCCCGCGTTCGGGTCCCTCGCGCATCTGTGAGTGGAGGGCGGGGAACGCGGATACGTTGGCTTACCCGTTAATCAGCGCGAATCCGTACGCAGACGCCGCGGGCCTCTTGTACTTCTTGCGCCGTGACAACCGCGCTATCCGACGCGCCTACAAGAGGAAAACAATAAGCAAGTCCGCCTACCTGGCCGCCGCCGAAGTCAAGGCGGGGCATTCCAAGAATTTCCCCCGGCGTAGGGGCGCGTATCGCCGATGCGAGCGGGACTGGCTTCTGCGATGGCGTTGTACGATCCACACGCGGACGCGAAAACTTGTCGGTAAGTCTTTGGAATTTCGGCACCGTTCCTTTGCTTACCCCGCGTGCCAGAGGCGCTGGTGCACGAGGACCTTCGGGCGCACCGCGCGCGCAATGTGCGCTGTTCGTGCGCTGTGTGCCACCAGGAGTTCTATCCCGCTCAAGCGGTTCGCGGGGTCCGGGGTCTGGTTGACAAGACGAGGGAGTGGATGTTTCTCTTGGGACAGATAGCTGTAGTTCAGGCGATTCCTTAGTAGATTCTGGCCTTTCTTTTTTTCTTTCAGTGTAGCGTTCAAAAAATTGTACTTCGATTTCAGGACGCGCATTTGCGCATTTCAAACTTGTGCGGCGATACATGAGTTGTACATTATCTGCCAGGTGGGACATCAGGATCCAAAAGAGGAACGTGGAGTCAGTGGACTCACTACAAATTCAGAGCGACTTTTCAAGAGTCCGTCGCTCCCTACTTTTCGTGGATTGTTTCGTCCTTGATGTCAGCGTTGATCTCAGCGACCGCGACATTATCTTCCGGTGCGATGCTCGTTCCTACCACGCAGTTGAACCAACATTCTTCTCCTGGCCGGCGGCGCTCACCCACGACACGGTCGTTTGCACTGTTCCACGTCGCTTTACCCTTTCCGCGCGCTTTGCGAGTTTTAGCGGGGCCGGAGGCCTGTTTCGTCGGTTTAAGAGGGGGAAGAGGTGGTCCAAATCTTCCGCGCACAGGAAAATTGGCGAGGCCAGGAGCAGCGAGCCCGAGTTCATCTTCAGCGTTGCGCAGCTCGGCGAGAAAAATTTCGTATTCATCTTCGCACGAAATGTCCAGTTGCACTGGAAAGTTTTGGGGAGAACGGGGGGTAAACGGAGAACTGTCGCGTTCGAGCTTCAGCGTGAGCGTGGGCGGATTGCCTTGAGAGGACATGGGCGTAGACGACAAGAGCGGTGATAGCATCACATCACTCAGCATAGCCACTTCCCGACTTGCCACCACCCACATCGTGGTCGGAGAGTCGGCCACGGCGCGTGCGGCGAACCTTACCACAGGCCCACGTTTCGCGCTGTGGGCGACGAACCTGACACCGGTTTTCCCCGGCGCTGCAGCCCGACTCACAGGTGCGCCATTTTCTTTTTATCTTTTTTTCTATCTTCGTTAAGTTTTTATCTTCGTTAAGTTAGCATAGATCCCTCTAGAAAAAAAAGAAGACCTTCTGGCCACGTCACCTTCCACCGCAGCACCTACAACGCTTAATCCAGTACCACCACCACCACCGCAATGTCGAGCGCCCCGACCCGTAACCTGCGAAGCGCCCCGACCCATAGCCTGCGCAGCGGCGACAAACCCAGGGAGCCGCCCAAACAGAGAAGTCGCACCAAGAAGTCGCCCTGCAAGCTCGCAGGCGCCACCCGCAGCTCCAACAAAAACATCGCCAACGCAGTTGCTGGTCCCAGCACCGCGCCCACCTTGCAGTCTCAGGGGGAGGACACCAGCTGGCGCCACCCTTGGTGGTGGTGCATCAAAGGATACCCCGGCATCGTATTTCTCACCCGCGATAGGTACGCCTACCTCCCTTTTTTTTGGCGCTGCTCGTAGTCGGCCTGACGCGCGGCTGGCAGGTACCGTGTTGAGAGCGTACTCAGTATGAATATTGGTGTGGTGTTCCGTGTCGATTTCGATGGGGCGGTCGCCAAAGCCCGCGAGCTTCTGGAGGTTAACCCAGACAAGCGCCTCGTGTATGCGCTGCAGGACGGGGGAGTTCAATCTGGCCAGTACGTTTCCGTGATGCGTACTTCGGCCCACGCTAATGTCTGTCGTTTGTTTGCAGGGACGCCGCGTACAAAGCTTACATGAAGAACGAGAAGAGGGGCACCCTGCTTTGCTGCGGGCGGTGTCAGACTCCCATTAAAATGGTAGTCAGAACATGTTCAAAACAAGCAAAAGGAGCTGAATGGATCATTTCCTAGTTTACAATTCTAAGTGCTACTTTGCAGGCTACAACGATTACAGAAACTAATTTGGTTTCCATCAGATCGGCCATCAATTCATCATCAATCGCATCAGAGGGATCAAAAAGCCCCTAACTTGCGGCATTTCATTTAAAACCACTTGAAACCTCATCAAAGACAAGAGTCAAGAAGAGTCAAAAGAAGACTGAAGCTCTGACTCAGAAAGAGTCAGGAAGAGTCAAGAAGAGTCAGTAAGAGTCAGTAAGAGTCAGTAAGAGTCAGGAAAGCTGGGCTTCTCCGTGACTAGGATGAAACAAGTGGCCCAAAAAGGAAATACTAAATAGTATATAAGGAGCTCTGATTCCACTAATGAAATCCAGTTTTTCCCCTTCAAATCTCCCTGCCAGGAACAACTTTTGTTCCCCTAAGCCCCTCTGAGTTGCCTGAAACCGTAGGTTGTGCATTCCTAAGCTACAACTACACCCCAGAAATACCCCTGAGTTACCTACCTGCCTGCCAGAAGCCCTTCAGCATCGTCTGATTACATAAGCCACACCTGAGAATCCACTGAGAAATTACCCGGAACCCAGGAATAAGGAATTCCTGAAGAAGAATTTACCGCGACACCCAGGAATACGGAATTCCTGCAGAAATCTTGCCAATCACTTCGATCGGTGAGCAGAGTTATTTCAGTCAGTTACGATAAAAATTTGGTCACACCTGACAGATTCTATCACTCGATCTTCACAGCCAGATTCCCTGCGGACCTACAAACCCATCAACTACCTAAATAGTTTGACGGAGAACTTCAATTGAAATAAGACGTACATCAAATCTACTTCGGAATAAGACCCCACCAAGAAGCCACTTGGATAACGACACTCCAGTGTAAACTTCTTTGCTACCCAACTTGGTAGTAGCTGACATCGTGGTGACCACCGCAGGGGGTTTATTCCTAGAAATTAGTTTGATACTACCTTTTTCAATTCCAGACTCCCGAAAGGGTTTATGAACAGACACCGACTTAGACTAGACCACGCAAGCAACGCATTCAAGACCCGAATCCACGTACAAGAAATAAGAAAACAGAAAAACCAAGAATCACCCGCACTTTCCACCGAACCACACTCACCTATCGAAGAGTTTTCCTTCCCCAATCCGAGTAACCCGCCCTTCGAAGAAATCCCCCTCGAGGCCGAGAACTCATTAGTTGATTGGGACTACATTCTATCAGCCCACTCAAGCCTCGGCAACCTAAGCATTCCCTCCTCGTACTCGCTTACCGACTCAGAACACGATCCACAGACTCACAGTACCACTTCGTCTGACGAATACCCAGCAATTACCAGAATGACCAGTACAGCTCAGAAAACCTCTCTTGACATGCCCTTGAGGCACTCTCGGGAAGCACCCAAGACCTTCCGTGGAAAATATACCGAGGTAGACGCTTTCTTGCGTCATTACGACAAGCTGCTCCGAAAATGCCATGTAACAGACCCGAAAGAGCAATGCGAGTTGATTATTGATTATTGTTCAACCAAGGTGGCTCAGTATATCAAATCCGAAGACCACTACATCACTCCAGATTGGATTAGCTTGAGAGCGGAAATCCGCAATTACTATGACGCGGAGAAAGTGGATCAGCGATACCTACCAGGAGATCTAGCCAAGTTCACTCGACGGAGTGCCCGCAAAGCATTGCATACCTTGGGGCAATGGAAAGCGTATTACCGTGCCTACAAGGCTATAGCTGGAAACATGGGTA